TATGTAGACCAAATGTATTATTTCTTTTATCTGTTTATGAATGAATACATTTAATTGTGAATCTTCAGTCAAAGAGCAAGGACATGGAAAGGTTTGGGAGATTCTAAGAGAAGGAAAATGGAGTAAGAAAGCCAAAAGATACTGGGCTCCTTTAACAACAACAGAAAAAATAAAACTTGAGAGAAGGCAAGCCAGAAGTCAGCTCTGTCACAGCTTTGTTTATTTTGCTAAACAGCTGAAAGATGAAGAGCTTATGCCCTTTGCCTGCTCCAGGAGAAGCAAAGCAGCGATTACAGACACGTGTGTGCACTGGGAGCAGACCTGGTGCCCCAGTTTGATGTGCTGCTTGGAGTAATTCTCTTCACTTTTCCCATAGGCATTTCCCTATTCTGCAGCCCAGAAGAGGCCAATCTCCCTGTGCTTGGTGTTCAGCCAGGCAGGAACAGCCCCAAAATGCCCTGGTGCTGCCTCTGGCAGGATGCTGCGGGGTCCTGGGCAGCAGTAGATGTCATGGCAAGTTCTGCGTGTTCAGCAGATGTGGTCCTGATGGTTCACTCCTTGAAACCCTCAGTTTTCCCAAAGCGTGTAAGTACAGGCATTTCCTCAGTGCTTTCAGATAGGACAGAAACAGCAGACTTCCTCTAGGCAAGAGTCTGGAGAAGGGCAATGGAGCTGTGAGGGGTCTGGAGCACAAGTGTGATGGGGAGCGGCTGAGGAACCGGGGCTGTTCGGTCTGCAGAAGAGGAGGCTCAGGGCAGACCTCGTGGAGCTGCAACCCCCTGGAAGGAGGCTGTGTGAGGCGGGGTCGGCCTCTGCTGGCAGGGAACGGCCATAGGACGAGAGGGGGTGGCCTCACGTTGTGCCAGGGGAGGTTCGGGTTGGCTGCTAGGAACAATTCCTTCTCCAGAAGTGATTCTGCACTGACACAGCTGCCCAGGGAGCGGTGGGGTCACCTGGAGGAGTCCCAGAGCCGTGGGATGTGGCACTGAGGGACGTGGGCAGTGGGCAGTATTAGCTGTGGGCAGATGGTTGATCTTAGTGATCTCAGGTGATCTTAGTGGTCTTTCCCAACTTTAATGACTCTATGATTCTAAGGAAGACACCCAGTTTTAACCAAGGTATGAACTTAAGGTACATTATATCTTAGCAGATGCAAACTTATTTAAATGCTCTTAAATGGGAACAGGCAGGGCTTTAACTGTTGTAAACTGTTTTAAAATGGAAATTGTGTCAGCCACTTCTGCTGCCTTGATCCTGGAGTAGGAGTGCATGTCTGAAAGGAAATGGTTTATCATCCCCCATGCAGTGCTGGCTAAAGGCGTCCCACAAGTTGGCTGCTGCTCCCTGACCAGCCTCATTGCAACGTCAGCCAAAGTTCCTTAACCCAACATCATTTGCAAATTGCATGAGGATGGCTAATTTGCATGAGAGCAGGGGAGGATCACTCACACAACCCTTTCTGCTCACTAGGGGATCCTGCTCAGATAGGAGGGAGTAACCATCCATGGCAATCAGCAACTTATTTAATTGCGTCCTCTTGGCAGTTTGGCCTTTTGCTTTCAAACCTGATCTTCAACCAATGCACTTCATAGAATCATAGAATGTCTTGAGTTGGAAGGGATCCTGAGGAACATCAAGTTCCAACCCCCTGCCACCTGGTTGTCTATTAGTTGCTGGGTGATGCTTAAAGCATACATCTAACCAGCTGATGTGTAAGAGGCAATGCTGAAGGCTTTGCCCTCCCTTGGTGGGATGGCTCAGGAATGGTGGTGAAAGGAGAGAGCAGCACAGTGTGGTATCCTGCCCTATGGATCCCTCTCTGGACCTGGGCAAGGCTTTTAAATCTCCACACCTGGCAGCCCGAACGCCCGCTGCCTAATGGCTACCTAAAGATGCTGCTTGGCATTGGTCCTAAATATTTTCCTTCAAAGTTGAAAGCTCTTTGTGAGCATAATCTGCCAGTACAAACAAAAGAAAATCTCTGTTTGTCTGAAGAGCAGAACTTGGCATGGTTTCCAGGGGAAAATGCCAAGTACATGAGGTTGTTTGCTCTCCTCGAAACAGTCACGACTGTTCCTTAGCTTCACTAAGGCGCATCTGGCTGTCATCTCTGCACATCTGTATCCTGTGATACACACAGCTTTCTCTCTATGCTTGAAGAGGTTTTATGCTGGGACGTGGCTCCAGAATTAGCAAAAGTGCATCTTTCTGCCACTCCTTTGGGAACTTTCCTGGGTCCTAGCGATGTTACTGGGACCTCCTCTGGAGCCACACAAAGCATTTCCATAGCCTTCCCAGGAGAGCAGCCTACAGGGCAGCCAACAGAAGCTCAAGTCATGGCTTGTGGGGAACCCACACGCATCACTGAATCATTGCAGGATGCATCCATCAAAAGGGCACTGCTTGGCACCACCTGCACCCCTCCTTCTGAGCCTCCTGGTCAGAAGAAGAGCAAGAGTGAAAAGAAAGAAGTGTAAGAGGTGACACAAAGCGTATCTCCAGCAGCACACTGGTCTTCTCATTTTTCTAGGCGGAATTTTTTTCTTTCTTTCTTTTTTTATCTTTTTTCTTTCTTTTTTTTTTCTCTTGCAGAAGGCTCTCACAGAAGATAAATATAGGAGCTTGTCTCTCAGAAGAGTTGACATCCACAGCGCCTCCTCTGCCTTCTGTTTCCTCCTGCATACAGATTAGTTCAAGCCTGCTCTGCCCACATGCTGGTTTGTCAGCGGAGGACAAGAGGGAATTCTCCACTGTGTTACCCTGCCCAGGAATGGAAACATTTCACAAGCTGTCAGGTAGGGTCTGCCCCACTGTGAAGGAATTTCCTAAATGAATTTGTGATTGAGGAGCAAATGTGTTCCTGAAAAACAGAGGCTTCCCAGACAGATATTCCAGTTTGAAGCATAGCAAGCCTACACCTTGGTATCAGCAAGGTGCTGCAATGGAAGGGAGCTGACCAAAGGAAGATGAACAGTGATTTTACAGTGACTCTCACTTTAGCACTCGCAAGCAGAGATGGACTTCAAAAGGGCGCAAATATAAAAGGAATACTTTGGAAGTGCAGTCATAGAACTCCTGGACGTCAGTTGGAGCAATGTTCACCCCAAACTTCACAACCCAAAGCTGGCTGCTGACTGTTGCATGGTATTGACCAAGAGCAAGCAATGAGACAGGCACGGTCTTTCATAAATCACGGTGATTTCTTTTGGTATTTGAGAGTGCTAGAAGTTATGGGGTATTTAAGATCACTTATCACAGGATGAAACATGCCTTGCAGTGAAGGGAGTGTTTCTTACTTGGAGAACAAAACAGAACAAAACGCAAATTAATAAACCAAACCAAAACACGGCTTTCATAGTTACGTCCCAGCACAGCTGCTAACTTATTCTGCTCACTGTCTGCACAGGAATTGGCCATGCCTACCTGGGGCCAGCAGGGCCCAGTGTACCTGGCCCAGCAGTGCCTGTGAATACCATGGATCAATGTTTAGGAATAGTGATTGACGACCCTGCTTAAGTTAATCACAGAATTGTAAAGGTTGAAAGGGACCTCTGGAGATCATCAAGTCCAACACCTGCTAAAGCAGATTCCCCACGAGGATGGTGAGAGACCCTTGGAGGGGAGATTGGAAGCTGAGTGCACCACAAGAGGCCAATCCTAATGTGAACCCTGCTCTCATGAGTTTTCAGTCGCTTTGTTTTGGTCAGAAGAGTTCCAACTTGAAATAATGTAAACCTCTAAGAGACTTCTGGGGGTTTCTGCTCTGTTGTTGTATCAGTCTCCTTTGGGAGCACTGCCCGTGCTTTCATGCTCTCCTCTCATTATTTCATAGAACCATTTGAGTTGGAAGGGACCCCTAAGGGTCATCTAGTCCAACTGCCCTGCAGTGAACAGCTCCATCAGATGCTCAGAATCCCACCCAGGCTGACCTTGGACGCCTCCAGGGAGCGGGCAGCGGGCAGCCAGGACACCTAGGAGAAGCCCCGAGAGGCCGATGTGATTTCAGGGACGCCCGGTTCAAGCCCAGGCGCAACCAGAGCTGCAGACAGATGTGTCACATCGCCTCAGCGCCCTTCCTGTAGAGCGGGGATGACGGTGTTCGCTCACAACCTCGGGCTCTCCAGAGGCAGCGGTCTCGTGCACGCACCGCGTTCTGGTTCTAGCACGGCCACTAGGCGTTCGCTGTAATTCTGCAGTCATAGTGACGATTTAAAGCCATGGCAGAGGGATGAAATGTTGGGGGGGGGGGGGGGGGGGCCGGGCACCGCTCACCCAGCACATCGTTGGGAGCGCCGTGGCGGAGAGGAACCCGAACCCCCCGGTGAGAATCCCGCACGGTGCGAGCGGTGCAAAGGCATCGCGGCGAGGGCTGCCCGCCGGTGGCAGGGGAGAGGCCGGCCGGGCTCCCAGCGCGGTGCGTTTTTGTTTTCTGTCTGTCTAGCCGGAATACCTTAACGGCAGGTAAAGGTGCCCGCCGGACGCGATGCCGAAAGCCTCCCGGCAAGGCGAGCCGGGAGAAGCTCCGCGGTCGTGACCGCGGAAAACGCCGGCACCCGTGTCGGGGCTCGGCCGGAGGGACGCGGCGGAGAAGCGCGACGCCTCGCCGGCCCCGCGCCCGCCCGCCCGCGGGGACCCCGCCCGGGGAGCCGGGACAGCCCCGAGCCCTCCGCCGAGGCTCCCCGCCCCGTTCCCGCCCAGCAGCCCGCCCCGCGTGTCGGCGGCGGCGGGGAGGGGGGTCGGGGCCGGCCGTGAAGTTCGGGCTCCGCCGT